CTTTAAGGGGGCGATTTAGTATGTATATTTTTACCATGTAACAGAGCTTCAGATGAGGACACAAATCATCGAAGAAACTAACATAATTGAATATTATTATATATCAATGTATTCGCAATGGTTCCCGCTAGTGAGTGAAATAAATTTCAATGCTCATGAGAACAGAAGAATAATTTAAATAAATGCCAAAGTACCTCAATTTTAACCACACTGTTAGTCTGTCAATATATTGCATTTACGGAACTAGGTCAGGCACAATAACCAAACTACTCACTAGAACGGACATCTAGGATCATTTGTATTTAATTTTCAGATTAATATTTATTAATAATTCTATAACTTGTGTCCTCAAGTAAAATGACAGAGGTGGTTTGTTATAAAATGCCTGCTAAAATAAAGCATAATGGTCTAATATTATCTTTGATATGCTATTCTCTTTAAAATCATTATTTTTTGTTTAACAGACTTATCAGTTGATCTAAAATCTAAATATAAATGTTAATCATTGTAAACAAATAATTTTTCAATAGCAGAAATTAATAAAGGCTAATTTTAATATCAGTAAGGAACAACAACAATTTGTGTTTCCACATATTAGAAACCGTAATAAAAGTAAGTATGGGTAATTTTTTAAAAGTACCTAGTAATAAGAATTTGAATAGCTTAAGTAGTACGAAAATATAACGCATAAAAAACCAATAATATGTACTAATTTTTCTTTATTAAGAATAAAGATTAAATTTTACGTACAGGGTATCCCACATAAAATAGTTGTTTATGGTAGTTTCAAAATAAATTTACAGCTTAAAAATTAGTCTGGCTCAGGTAGATTTCTTTTTCAATCTACAAATCAGTAGCTACTTACCGATAAGAAGGAAACCACTGGATATTTAATGAAAAAAGTGACGACCAAAAAAGTAATTCATTATATGAATATAACTAACACAATTTTAATTTCATATTGTCTTTGAATTTTTAGTCACCTAGTGTAATACAAAATAAAACATTGAATTTAAAATGATTATTTTTTTAATTTCTTTTCTTGGGTTTCCATTAGGTATACAAGTAGGGTCTTTACATTTCCTTTTTTGCCTTCTTAAACTGAACTAAATGCAAATATGAGAATAAAGTGATATTTCATTACAAAAAATATAAGTTCGATGCGGCGGGGAATTCCAGAACAAAATATTTTTAAAATATCCTTCTTATGTCCTATCGCGTTGCAAAAAATATATATTTCAGATTTTTAAGTTGCAAAATAAAAAAAAATTGCGAACTTTTGCAAAAGCCTACCCTTGTAGCAAATTTCCTTAGGAACAAAATCAATAAGCATAGCTCATGTCGATTAGAGGCTTATTTTCGGAGATATAAGCGAAAAACTAAAAAAAAAAGCAATTATTTTATTATCTTTTGTTATACAATATGACGCTCGACCTCTACAAATACACAAATTTAGGCTTTTATTCTAGTGTATTTTTTACTTAATTTTAAACCCATAAAATTCGAGGTAGGACCGATTTTTGAAAAAAAAAACCTAATTCGGCCGGACTACTATCTTATTCATTATTCAATTCATCAAAAGTCTTCAAAATTAAGAAATAAAAAGTTGTCATTCTGGGAACAATTGTTTATACAAATTTTGACTTTTTTATGAACAAGTATTTGTAGAATAAGCATTACAAGTCGATTTTTCAGAGCACTATATTTCATTTTTGCAATAAGTATTTCGTTCTAAATATTTTTTTTTCTGTTCTTCATCAGTATTATTTTTGGTTTTTCATTTAAAAATTAAAGTAAGTAGCAAAAAAAAATAGTGTATCTGGCAATTGAACCTAGATCCACTACAACTGCAGGCTAATTATATTTGAAATCGCATTATATTCGAAAGAAGTGCACCTGCTAGAGCTGTCAGCTTCGAGTCAGCCGATACATGTAGCGTGCGCGTACTCCCCAAATGCCTTCCCCTCTCTTGCTTAGTAATTGTCCAAAACATGACAAATTTATTTAATTTTAATAAGCAATAGCATAAAATCCATGTAAAACTTCCCTGGGAACACGATGGTGCAATTATTTTTTTTGCTACTTGCCGTAGTTTATGAGATATTTTCGAAAAACCTTATTTGTTACTAAATAGATACAATAATATTTTATA